CTGAGGCAAACACTCTGCCAGGAAAGGAAGGAAAAGAAGATGGCCTGAATTCACAACTCCCGAAGTAATGAAAGATGAAAATGTAAGTTTTGCCATGTGCTGGCTTTCCTGACATGCAATAGCATATTTTTTTCTCCTGCATAAGGTCACTTTTAAACTTGCCTGGTAGAAGATATAAAAATGGAAGAATTTTGCATAACACAATGAGTGATATTTCAAATCAATTCATAACTTCCTAGGAGGCACCTTAACACAGAAAATGCTGGCTTGGGTATGAGATGACGGACACTGGCGTGTACAGTTATATGTTCTGAATTATTACACAAAGGACTTCACTCAATTGTGTTACTTATGTTTTTCACGTCTGGGGGAAAAGATATCAAATTGCTTTTATATTATTTTTGAAATCATTGGTTCTTCCCTATAGCTAATAAGCCTTAGCAAAACATACACAACCTGAGAACATTATTATAAAGGATGTTGTGCTATGTTTTGAATGTATTTCTTGCTGAATTCTCATAATTCTCCTATGAAGTGGTATATTTTCCCCTAAACCATTTTACAGATGATGTGAGTTAAAATTAAATAAATTCCTTCTACTATGTCACAGACCTCAATATGTGGGTTTCTACCTATGGCATCTCAATTTCTTTGAGGCATTCAGTCTAAGGGGAACTACATCAAATGAAGGTGCCCACCTTACTTGTCTTGCAAATGCCTCCAGATTCACATTCAACAGGTTTGGGACATTCCCATGGTAACTGCCTGAGTCAACCGGGACCTGCACTGAGTGTACTGGTGTTTAAGGAGCCCCTTGGTTCCTGATCCTCACATAATCCAGGAGAGCGGCACAAACATGGGCAAGGCAGAGTGGAGGAGGGTGAAGGCCTTGTACCGTCAGTGATTAGCTTTGAATCATGGGTTTGGTGTTTATATCATGTGGCCTCGGGAAAGCTACATGAATCTTTTTGCCATCATTTCTTTATCTGAAAATGAGGTTACAGCTCACTGTCTCCTAGAGTTTTGGGCTTAGATGAATGAATGGTGTTTAGCACATACAACCCTCAACAACATCCACCTACTCTGGCAACTCTTTAAAAAATGCTGACAAAACACATAAAAGCATTGACAATCACCTGGATCCTATTGCCCTGCAGAGAGGTCAGATGTGGAGGGAACAGGGAGTTGGTGAGTTTCTACTACATTCTAGGCCATCCTTTAACCATACAGGGGCCCTTCAGGGAAGAAACAACTAAACATGCCATTTAAATACAGGAGAGACTATGTTATTTGCTCATTGTCACCATATAAAAATTGATTTTCATACTTAAAAGCCATGACTCTCTGAACTCAGAGCCCATATTTTTAATTATTTTTGGCCAATTTGTGAAACAACATCAAAAAAAGCACTTTCATTTTTAACTGACTACATCCTTCAAGTAGTCAGTTGGAATTTCTTGAGGATTGTGGGTGCCCCTAAGTTATCTCCCGTAAACATACTCCAACACCACCCTAACCATCCCTCTTGTTACCAAAAATATGGTCAGATTGCCTGATTCTATTGTTGAGAATCAGTCATTTCAAATCTTGTTGGGGTGCTGAAGATATGGTGTCACAGTCTCAGGCAGAATACATCACCTGAAGGAGCACTTCGGTTATATCAAGCTCCACTGGGATCATTAAGTGAGCCCCATATTGGTCCATAGGTTCTGCCAATAGAGAAAAGAGAAATGACTAGGAAGAACAGCGAGTAAGTTAATGTGTGTTAGTGTTCACAATTGTTTGCAACACGCCTTTATCTCTCATCATATGCATGAAACCACCTCTGTTATTAACTCTTCAACTCATGCAGTGAGTGAAACCATGTGTCTCAGGAACTTGTCCAAATCACACAGCTGGTCCTTGGCAGAGCAGTGCTGGTCTCAGGTCACCTGGATGCAGACACCATCCTCTTGCTGTGAGGAAAATAAGAAGTGCTGTGCCTTGTTTTCACCCCAGGGAGAAAACAAAGATAACTCTTGGGCTACTTGCTAATTCATCATTTTATATACCATCACACTACCAGGATTTGAGTATTTTCTCCAAGTACCTAAATGTCCATCTAATAAATTTGCCTTGCAAAAAAAAATAACTATTCTATTGTTTTATGAAGCCACCTCTAAATTAAGTATATAAAAAAAGAATGTCCTTTGATGCCTGCATTCTTTTTATATAGTACACACTAGGCACCCCATGGAAGAACACTGAGAGCAATTTGCATGTGTGCCACACACGTTCCTTATTTGTTTGACAGTTTCCAAGGCTTAGAAAGGAGGTTCACAGAAAAGACTGACATGGAGACAGCCTGCCAGACTTCCTCCCCTTACTCTGTTGCACACCTTCTGTGATTCTAACCTGTCCATGTATCCTGACCAGCCATCCATCAGTGTGTGTCAAGACTGATTTCTGGAATCTATCTGTGGATTTTCTGCCTACTTTCACTTTAAGAGAAGCTAATGTGGAGAGCAGGACCTGAGGGAAACAAAAAGACCTGAGTACAGGTCCTGTTCAGACAGGAGTGCACAGATGGATTTGTCAACATCACTGCTGCCTTGTTCACAGGGGGCATCTAGTCCCCAAAGGAGACGCAAAAGTGAGGTGTGTTCTGTGCATTCCCCTATATTCGTGCCTTAAAGTATGAATCCCTGCCAGTTCTTTAATGTAGGTTAAATGGTGACTAGAAAGAGTCAGTTGAATTACATTGCATTCCAAGGATATACTACTCAGCTGCCATTGAGAATCTTTTCTGGGTTTATTAATAATTTTTTTGAATAGAACTTTTTATGAACAATAGAATTTTATTTGCCAATTATGTTGATTGAGGTAATGTGTGTATGTCATTATATCTGCTCTAGGGGCTACAAGTTTATCTCAGCCTCTACAAGTGCATATTTTCATAATCATGGTATCTCCCCTGCCAAGTGAGTATATTTCCCACCGCACCTACCACACGAGCCCCAATAATCCTCCACATTGTCCCGTTGGATCCCACCGTTCCCTGCTCCAAATCCACCTACTCCCACTATTTCCCCAGTTCTACAAAATGTTCATAATATATAGACAAACTTGTGAGTATATGAAAACCTTTTAAAATATAAATTGCTACATTAATAGAGGAATAAAAAGGAGGAAGTGATTCTCTAAAATTTTAAGGATGATTATTACTGAAAAATAGATATTTTTATTATTTCATGTACTTTGAACAACTTTACATATTTTCCTATAAGATAGTTATAGTTCTATTGCAAATATATTTAATGAAGTAATTTTCTCTTTTCTGATAATAATAGTATTACGAATTGATAATAATGCTGAAGACTCAGAAACATCAGGTTTGATATGTGAGTGTTTTCTGCATTACCCTCATGTGACATCACACTGTAAGCCTCCTAATCTCTCTAGAAGATATGAAAACATAGATATGTGAGCTACACATTTGTAATTGAGGTCCAAGAATATTGAAAACTCAGCTGATGTCAAATAGGGTTTAGTGGCATAAAACAGTGTTTAATTTTCTTTGGTCAACAAAATAAAATTTAATTAGATTGTTTAAAAACCTGTAATATTGCTCACAATAAGTTATATAAAATAATAGATAATAAAGTCAAACATGTAGACCCTTGTGAGCAATGTATACTTATACATAAAATACCAAGTAGGGTTATAGAAAATACCAAGTAGAGCGCAGCTGTTGAGCGCTGGGCAGAGAAGCTGCCCGCAGCCTCTGCAGCACCAGTTCGATCCCTGGCCACCTGGCGAGGGTCCCACGTGACGCCTGCCGCCCGCTGCTCCCCTCAGCAGTGTCCACCATCAGTCTGCCTGTTATGCTCCCCTCTCTGGCTCTGTGAATTCTCTCACCCTCCCGCATTTCTGACTGTACCCAGTGCTTGTATAAATAAATCTAAAAATAAAATAAAATAAAATACCAAGTAACTCTAAATTTATTATGCAGAGATAATTCAAAGTAAAAGTGAATGATGGGAGACTTTATGTCCTTTTTAATACCTCATCTTATTCATTCTCTAAGAGCAACAATTATTTATTTGAGTTATTGTATTTTTCAGTACTATGTCTTTGAATGAATATTGTCTCTTACATTGTACTTGCTTATTTAATGGTAATAGCAATATCACAAGACTGTTGAGGGAATTAAATAAAACAATAAAAAAAAACTTCTGTAACAATTCCTGACAACAACCTCATCCTCAGTGGGTATTAGATGCCATATGAATTTTAACGCTTATCAGTCATATCAAATACACATTGCTTTGACAGTTCCCCTGCATGTGATATAAAGATTAAGGGACTCTCCAAGATTCTGCATGAGGAGAAGCTTTATTAATTGTTTGCTCTTCCTCATAAACCTCCAGCAACTAAGGTCTTTTCCACTCTTGGAGGCTCTCAGGTTTTAAGTGAAATTTGATTTCTCTCAGTCATAATCTGTGTGGTAATATCTCCTAATTAAAAAAAAAATAAAAATAGCCCAGAGTATGTGCATGTGGCACATTAAAAAATATTGATGAGATATTGCAGTTTCTGAATTTGTTTTCTTGTAATACAGGAAAAAATGTCTTCATACTCAAGCCCTAAATAAATCACTGGTACATTGCAGAAAGATCAACAAGAGATTGAGCACAGCAGGTACGTCTTCACGAGGTTGGATCATAAACGTCAATGCGTATAAGTCAAACCCCTCTCCTATCTCAGGAAATATGATTTCATCCATCGGATTATTTGCAGATTTTGAGCACTCTTATTAGATCTGTCAGTACCATGGAGCTCAGGAAGTCTCAGAGATATTCATGTCTGTAGCAGATCATGAACAACCTCAGCAACCTATCAGTCACCATTTCCTGTGAGACACCAGAACCAGCCCAACCCTCCTCCCACTGCCTTTAGTTTTCTTGCTAACAGGGACCTCAGTTTCTCAACTTCTCCCTGGGAGTCAGCCAGCCAACAGGATGCCTCTTCTGGAAGCTGTCATCTTCTCTTCCCTCTGGGCATGTGAGTTTTCCACAGTCTATGGGAGACTGACATGCAAGATTTGTTTTCATCCTCATGTAGCCAGATTTATCAATATGTTCTATCATTTCTTGAAAGTTAGTTGTAGTTATCCACTCATTCCTTTATCCCATTTGCACAGCAGCTATGATAATTTTTCTGTAGAGGATCAGATAACAAATATTTTAGACACTGTGAACCATGTTGTCTGTCATGTGATTACTAACCACTGCATTTAGCTCAAAAAAAAAAAAAAAAGATGGACCGTATATAAATGAGAGGGCACAAATCTATTTCATGAATGTCTGGGGATGTTGTCTTTTCAGTCAACAGGAGACACTGAGAAAATTCTTTAGCTGAATATCATTTGTTCACTTCTTTGTTTGCAGTTGGTGTTTGTCAGTTAAAGTTGGAGCAACCTAAAATATCACTTTCCAGGGGAAGACATCAGATTGCCTACATATCTTGTAAGGTGTCCTCTGGTAGCTTTAACAGTGATTACATACACTGGTACCAACAGAAACCTGGCCAGAATATAGAACATCTAATATATGTGCAATCAACAACGAAAGCTGCTCAGCAGAAAATAGGTGATAATATCAAACTTGAAGCCAGCAAAGACTCGCGCACTTCCACTTCAATTTTGAAAATTATTTACTTAGATAATGAAGATGAGGCCATATACTACTGTGCCAGCTGGGACCACAACATTAAAACCACCACCATAACCTACACAAAAATCAACATCAGGTCTGTGCCCACCCACATCCTTCCCAATATGGGCACCACAGAGTCCCAACATCTGGATGCCCATTTCTGAGCCTCCCTTCCTGCAGAAAGGGAGCTTATTACTGTGGAGATGTGACCTAAAATGAAATATATGTATCAGACACAAATAGAAAATCATTCCATGGCAGGCAATGTGCTGGTGATAGCTCACCGTCTACAATCATCACAGCACTTTTGCAATGTCATATTCATTTTTCTACATGAATATTCACAATTTGAGGCTAATAGAGATAAAATAAATTTTAAAATGCAAAACCTTTTACTTCTTCTTCTCTGTCTGGCCATCCAGAGGAAATTCACCTCATCTCATGTTGCCAAACTCAGTCTCGCCTGGTAATAATCTCTGAGCCTGGGCATCCCTTCTTACAAGCACGTGCACCCGTTGCTCATGCTCTCCTGCTTCTTGGCCTGTGTGTCCATGATTACAGGGGCTGGTGCTCATGCTACCAAGTGCCTCTTGCACTAACACGATATCATGTGTGGTCAGTCAAATGTGGAATTATAGCAAAGTCACAGGTGACCGCTGTAGAGGCCAGTGACAGGAAGGTGGGAAAAAAAGCCTGATTTAATGCCATTTTCCCCATGCTCCTTACACAAGCTTCTTCTATGTATATCTGTAAGCAAGCAAAGTGTCAGGTTTTCCTGCCCTCCTACCATTAGATTAAATGCATTCCTGATGGCGGACACCTGGACTAGGGTGTGGGCATGCATAGCTGGGCACACCTGGCTGAGAGATTGGGCTTATAAGGGCTGCGTCACGGAGATGCCAGCAGAGCTAGAGCAAAAGAGAGACTGGAAGAGAACCAGCAGAGTAGCAGAGGCCTCAGAGAATGCAGGAGAGCCAAGAAAGTGTGAAGATTCATCGGGGACTGGAGGCCTGCCAGCTTCCCGGCCTCCTGCCACCCCTGCCTGCTGTGTACCTGGTAAATCCCAATAAAGCCCTGCAAAAGCCATGAGGGCTCCAGGACTCTCCTTTACCCATCTGCTCCAATCACAGAAAACCTTCTCTGTGCCCTTCCTGTCACTACAATATCATTTCTGAATAAGCAATCAAAAACACAGAGTTTCATCCAACATATTTTTCTGTAGGTGCTGCATAAATTAAGACATATCTGAATAGTGTCATGTCAAGTACCCAAAGTGCCAAAGAAGCCCCAAGAGACTAGAAGATCATCATGTTCAGAAGGAAGACAGATGGTGGAATTGCTAAAGGGTAAAGTTTGCTTGAAAGGAAATGACCTGGCCTCTCCCAAGCACTGGCCTGGGTTTTTATAAACAAGTAAACCCAGAACTTTCCAATTCTTAGATATAAGATTGTGCTTATAGAAACATCTTTGTGCTTGAAGGAAGCATATCTGATATCATGTAAGCAGTGGGGAAAATCATGTGTGTTGTGTGAGGCTGTATAAGCTGTATGCTCCCAGATAGAATGCAATTTTATCTCCTGCATGTGTCAGATAAGAGGTTTCCTCTGTTTTAATAATCTTAGCTAGTTTTCTCATCAGAATTCACTCTAGTACTAAATTTAATGACAAGTCAATGATTTCTAGATTGAAATCATTGTGGCTAAAATGCACAAATTATCATTTTATTTTAAGATAGCAAGCAAACTATTAAATGAAACATGAGCTTCATAGCTTTTGATGATCTACCAAAATTAAGTTAAAATTTGTTAAGTATGATATAATCAAATCTGAAGAAATGATGCAAAACTACAAGTAATTTGAAACCGAGTAACTACAGAGGAAAGTGATGACCACGTTGGTGGGTCCTCACCTGCGTGCACTTGTGACTACAGGTCAGGAGTCAAAAGCAATACATGGGGTAAGCGAAAATTACAATTATTTTTTTTTACATAGAGAGTGAGACAAGGAATAAATTAAGAGTATCTGAATAGTGAGAGAGTGCATCTAGGCTGGCACACGGCTGCCTGCAGTCTTTCCTACCCAGCCAGTGTCCATGGTTTAGAGACCCAACTCCAAGCAAGGATCCACTGAGCAAGATGGCCCCTGGCTACTCAGCAGAGGAAGCAGGAGCTGCCTGTGAGAAAATGGCCACTGGCCCATTTCAGCCAGACTAAGCAGGATCTGCTGCAAGGAATGAAGAGCAGGTCTGCTTATCAGAAGCAGAGCATCAGGACTATATATGAGCAGAAGCAAGTAGGAGCTAATCTAGGCTTCAGGAGCATCTGAGCTGACACATGGAAAACTGACCAGAGCAAACAACAACACAGGAATCAGAGCACAGTAACGCGGCCCAAAGAGACATCAGCCTGCTTGTATCTGGCTCTTTAAACTCTTTAATGGCTTCTCTGATCTTTTCCTAACTCCAAACAGCCCCTGTTCAGAAGGTCACTGGGCTTACATCTGTAAATCTCCACATTCTACCTAACATCATCCACTGCCTTCTAGGATGTTAGTTCCAGTCACCATGGGGGAAACAGAGTTGGGTCAGGAGATGAGGAAGGTGGCTGCGGGGCCCACTGTGCAGATCCAGTGCACGTGGATCCAATACAGTGTGAAGACCCAGAGGACACTGGCCTGGATGCTCTCTGCCCTCAAGTACAACCTGCTCTGCCTCATGGTGTCCCCCCTCCCCACTGGACACCATGGTCGCTTCAACTGTTGCTCTGGAGGTGAAATTTATGACCATGTCCAACGCCCACCCCCATGCACTAGGCAAACACTGGTGCTTGCACATGCAATGGAGCACCCTAAGCACACAAAGCATGACCCGATGCTCTTGAAGTGGGAAGGATGCAAGAAAGGTGGAAAATTCTGTTTTACTTCATAAGACTTGCTTGTTTTTTTTATCTTTAGTTTTTCAATCTTTACTCTGATGTAAAATATGTTTCCTCAGTTGGCCACATCAAACATGCTGAGTTGACGGTGTGCAGGTGAGTTTTTGTTGCATGAGTCAGGGTTAGAAGATAAATAGCTGATTCTTGTACATAAGATAAAATGTTTGTTTATTCTTAGAAAGTAAGTTTTCTGTGCCTGAACTTTTGCTTCACCTGTTTTAGAAACATGTTATATTGACTTTGCAAATGCATTGAAAAACAGATAATATCATTTCATTTTGGAGATGAGGAAGTTGCAGGTATGGAATTGCATCAAGGACGTATCTCCAGAGTGGAAGAACTGGAATTTGATCTGATATCTGTGATTTTGTCTTTTTCTTCACTTTTCACCTGCTTAATGGTCATTTTATTTTTTTATCACATGAGAACCTATAAGAATTCTAACTAAACTAACTAAATAAATAAAAGAAAAAAAAAAGAATTCTAACTAAACTCTTAGTATTTATTGCACAAGTCCTTTATCAATGCCCACTGTCACTGTAAAACCATGGGTCCTGGGATGATACTTGGTGGGTTATGGCCACTACCTCTGAAGTTTGTTCATTTCACCAATACTGCTGAATGACCATCCCACCATTATGCTCATACATTTCATCATTTTCCTCCATAAAATTCAATAAGTCCTCACCATTTATTCATTTTTTAAAGAAATGATCTTTGAAATACTCTAAAAAAGTAAAAGTACTTAAAATCCTTCCTTCTTAAAAATTAAGTATTATGTGAACTTGATTCCTAAATTCTTTTAATTCCAAGTAACATCCCCAAATGGACAGTTTTCTTGTAAATGTTCTACTAGTTCACATCTCTAGATGATTTTTAATTTAATTTCAATCTACATGGAACCTATTTTATATTGTGTGAGGTTGAGCGCTATTTCTATTTCCCAACAAATAATCAATACTCCAAACTCAGCTTTAAAATAATCTATCATGGGGCCTCCCTGGTGGCGCAATGGGTTGAGTACAGTGCTGTGAATCTGTCTGCAGTCTCTGTGGCACTGGTTCGAATCCTGGCCAGCCAGGAAGATACCCCCATGGCACAGAAGACCTCACCTGTCTCTCCTGCTTCTCCCCTCAGCAGTGTATTTAGGTCCTTCTGCCTGTTCTACTTCCCACTCTGTCTCTAGTGAATCCTCTCACCTTCCAGTTCCTCTCTGGCCTGTACCCCAATTCTTGTATAAAAATAAATCTCAAAAAAAAAATCTATCATGGGGCCCCCCTGGTGGTGCAAGGGGTTAAGACACAGCACTATGAAGCAATCCACACCTTTTGCAGCACGAGTTCAATCCCCCACCAGCCAGGGAGATACCCACATGGCGCAGCAGACCTCTCCTGTCTCACCTGCTGCTCCCCTCCGCAGTTTATATGAGTAGATCTGCCTGTTCTGTTCCCCACTCTGTTTCTAGTGAATCCTCTCACCCCTGCACCTCTGGCCTGTACCTCAGTTCTTGTATGCATAATTTTTTAAAAAATAAAATAAAATAATCTATCATATCTCTATATTTAAAAATATCAAATCATATTTTAATATCAACATGTACTTGAAACAGAAATCCTCCTGGAGTATTTATCCTTTATGTTTCATTCTACTCACATTATTATCATATTATGCTAAAAGCTTTGTAATAAGATTACTAGCCAAATGTCTATTCACTATTTAAAAAATTACTTTTCAATTATCTCACATTTCTACTTCCTAATAAAATTTAAAATACACTTCTAGTGGATCCCACCCCCAACTTGTACATAATAGATCAAAAATAAACTGTCTTGTTAATTTAGCTTTTTTTTTTAAGATTTTTTTATGTATGCATATAAGAATTGGAGTATAGGCCAGAGGTGCGGGAGAGTGAGAGGATTCACCAGAGAGAGAGCAGGGAGCAGAACAGGCAGACTGACTGAAATACACTGCTGAGGGGAGCAGCTGGCAAGACAGGAGAGGTCTGCTGTGCCATGTGGGTAGCTCCCCGGCTGGGGCTAGAACTCATGCTGCAGAAGCTGAGGACAGTTTCATAGGTTGCATCTTAACCACTTGCGCTACCAGGGAGGCCTTGTCTTGTTAATTTTGATGGAAACGGTTATCAAATTTTATATATATATATATATATACACACACACACAAACTTTAGGCCGCCTCTCTTAGTTCCCACCTCAACACTCTCTCTCCACTATCCTTAATTTTACAGTCATGTTTCTAGCGTTGTTTTGGTTTACATTTTTTTTTGTTTTGGTTTAGGTTTATCTATTCCTTTGCTTTGTATCTCATAGTCCACATATGAGTGAAATCATACAGTATTTGTCTTTCTACTTCTGAGGTATTTCATTTAGCATAATATCCTCTATTTCATATATGTAGTGCCATAAAATGGCAAGGTTTTATCCTTTTCAAATAATTGAGTGTGTTCCATTCTGTATTTATACCACACCATCTTAACCCATTCCTCTGTTGTTGGACACTTAGGTAGTTTTCATAACTTCACTATGTAGGTAGTGCTGTACTGCATATAGGAGGGCATATAGCCCTTCTAATTAATATTTTTACAATCTTTGGATAAATGACAAAATATGGAATTGCTTGATCATGCAATAGATCTATTTTTAATATTTGAAGAAACTTCACCTTGTTTTCCATAGGAGCTAAACCTTTCTCCACTACCATAAATAGTGTATGAAGTTTATTTTTTCCCCATACTCTCACCAACTTTTATTGTAAGTGTTTAATTTTGATATAGGGCATTTTCATGGGTTGAGGTGGTTTCTAATTGTGGTTTTGATTTGCATTTTCCTGATGATAAATGAAGTTAAACACTTTTTCATGTGCCTATTGGCACCTGTGTGTCTGCTTTGACTAGTGTCCATTTAGCTCTTCTGTGTGTTTTTTTGTTTTGCTTTGTTTTTTTAATTTAAACTTTTTTTATTTTCTTACGTGGTCATTAAATTTTATACAATAGTTGATTTCTCCCCTCAATTGTAGTCTCCATAAATCTCCCATCACTGCATCACCTCTCAACTGTCACCATGGTCCCTTGTGTTCTTCTCTCCCATGTTTTGATCCCTCTTCACCCCCTCCCCTGCTGTATGTCTCAGATCTATAGTTTGCCTACAAGTTTTGTCTTTTTTCTTACCCTTTGTTTGGCTTCCTTATATTCATCCTATAAATGAAACCACCCAATGTTTTTCTTTTTCCTTCTGACTTATTTCCTGAGCATTACTCCTTCCAATTACATCCATGTTGCTGCAAATGGGCTCGGGTCTATCTTTTTGATTGCTGAGTAGTATTCCACTGCATATATATATATATATATATATATGTGTATATATATATATATATATATATATATATACACCACATCTTCTTGATCCTTTCATCTGTTTTTGGGCATTTGGGTTGTTTTTATATCTTAGATTTTGTAAGTAGTGCTTCAATAAACAGAAGTTTCTGCATTTTTTTTTTATTGTGTTCTTTGTTTTCTTCTTATAGCTGTATGAGTTCTTTGTAGATCTTGGATATTAATCCCTTCTTGTATATACAATGTGCAAATATTTTCTCCTACTTGATAGTATGTCTTTTCACATTAATGATATATGTGTTTTAGTTAGATACAGCCATACTTGGTTGTTTTTGCTTTTATTATCATGCTGTTAGAATTCCTGAGGACACCACTGATATCATGGAGTGTTTTGCGTGTGTTTTTTATGCATTTTATGGTTTAGGCCTCATGTCCAAATATTTAATCCATTTTGCATTGATTTATGTATATGCTGAGTGCATGGTCTACTTTCATTTTTCTGCACGTGGTTGTATAGTTTTCCCAATAAAATTTGTTAAAAAATACTTTCCTTTCTCCACTGTATACCCTTGGTTCTGTTGCTGTAGATTAATTACCCACATAAATGTTAATTCGTTTCTGGAATCTCATCTCTATTTGATTTGTCAGCGTGTCAACTTTAATTGCAATAACATTCTATTTTGATAATTATAGACTATAGCATGGTGTGAAGTCTGGGAGTGTGATACCCCAATTCTACTTTTTTGTCAAAATATCTTTGACTATACTGTTTTCTGGTTCCACATAAATTTCAATAATGTTTAATATATTCTTTAGAATTCTAGTGAAAGTTTCATAGGAATTGCATCTTATCAGTATATTGTTTTGTGTAGGATGGCCATTTCAACAATGTTAATTCTTCCTAACCATGGATATCTAACATTTTTCCATTTCCTTGTGTCTTCTATACTTCTTGTTATTGACTAGTTCTTTCACTTGCTTGCTAGGTTTATTCCTAGGTATTTACTACTATTGTAAATGTGATTGTTTTCATAACTTCTTTCCATTTGAGGTAGTTATTTACATAGGAGTGAAACCCAATTTTGTAAATAGATTTTGAGGCTGTCATTTCATTATACTGATTTACTGTTTCTTATAGTTTTTCAATGGAGTCCAGAATTTTCTATTTTCAATCTCAAGAAGTAGTATGCTTCTAAGTATTTCCCCATTTCTTGCGTAGTTTCCAATTTGTTGGCATAAAGACATTCATGGTAGTTTCTTATGATCTTCATTTTTCTGAGGTGTCTATTACAACCTCTGTTTCATTTCTGATTTCATTTGAGAACCCCCCTCCCTTTTTTGTGAGTCTATAGAGTTTAGTATAGTATGTTTATTTTTCAAAGAAACAGCTTTTGTTTTCATTAACCTTCTGAACTGCCTATTTAATTTTAATTATTTCCACTCTAATATTTATTAGCTCCTTCCCTCTACTAGCCTTTGGCTTCATTTATTCTTTTTTTCTAGTTCCTTCCTTAAGGTATAAAGTTAGATTTTCCATGTGAGCTCTCTCTTCTTCTTGATATGGGTCTGCATTGCTATTTACTTCATTCTGAGAACTACTTTTGCTGCATCCCTAATGTTCTGATATGTTGTGTCTTCATTTTTGTTTCTCTAAATATTTTTAGATTTTTTCTTTTATATCCTCATTAAATCATTAGTCATTCAATAGTATGTTGTTTAGTCTGTGCATATTATTGGGTTAAAGCTTTCTTTTTTTGGTCAATTTCTAATTTGATAGCATTGTGACCAGAGGAAATGCTTGATATGATTTCAATATTCATGAACTTAGTGATATTTCTTCTGTGGTAAACCTTGGAGAATGTCCCTTGTACATTTGATAAGAATATATATTCAGACTTTGGGAGGTGAAATGCTCTACAAATGTCCTTTAACATCATTTGGTCTAATTCCTTATAAAAGATGATTATTGCCTTCTTTTTTGTTCTGTCTGGTTCATCTGTGCATTAATGTAATGGTACTGAAGTGTCTTCCTACTACTGTTTTGCAATATTTTGTAACATATTTTTATATATATTTATATATAATTATATGATATATTATTATTATATGTATTATTGTATATTATTCATATTATTATATCTTGTAACTCTCTTTTTTCTAACGGGGTCCTTAGTGCATTACTATCTTTGATGTAACTGGTTTGTTCCTCCATTGGATCTATTCTACTGACATAGCATTCTTTAGCATTCATTAATCTCATGTACTGAGAATTTTGCCTCCTGATTTCCTGGTGTTTTTTTTAAGCTTCAATTTCTGTCATTTGTTTATTGATTTGATTTTTGAGCTCATTAACTTTTTTCGTGAAATTTGTTGGAACTTTTTGATTACTTTTCTGAATTCTCTTGAGTTTTTATGGATTTGCTTTCTCAGTTCTCTTATATGACTTTGAGTTGTCCTTTATCTTCTGATTTCTTCTTATCTCTTTAAGTTTCTTTATCATAAAGTTCTGGCCTCTCTATCGGATAAGGAGATATATTCTTTCATCTTTTTATGTATGGATTCTGGAGAGTTTTATTCAGCTAGCATTGTTATGCTCTTTTGTGATTTCATATTTCCAAATGTTAACTATTTGACTTTTATGGCAGGTGATGTTTTGTCTGATTTTTCTGTATTTTGGCCTTTGCTCAGTTATAGATATATTGGTCTTTGTTTTGTAGTTGCTGAGTCAGTAGGGTAAGGGAGGAACTTGGAAATTTCCAAATCTTGGTGTGCATGAGTGTGGCTAGCTCGTCCTTGCGGTAACCCCAATATCCTTCCTTTCTGGGGTGTGAGATGAGTGACTTGGCATTCCTGTGCATTCGTTGTACTTCACAATGTCAGAATGAGTCAGATTGTGTCGGAAAGAAGACTATAGAACAGAATGCTTTCTCTCCTATTTTTTCTACCAGATTCCAACTGGTGTAGGGCACTGCTGCTTCTCCATAACATTTTCACTTCCTTCAGAGGTATGTGCCTCCATGCATCCTCTGGTCTCCCCCAACTCCTGCTTTCCTGGATGATCTGACAGCTCTGCCATTGGAATCCCCTGTTCCAGCCCACAATCCCCAGGTACTTCTCTCCACCCACTTCCTGTTTAATGTATGGTGAAACTCCTCAGTGTCAACTTTATTGAAGTCAGCACTGGTCTCTGCTATACAAGGGATAATCAATCCCATACTATTTATGAGGCCATTTCTCATACTCTGTCCCTTTAACTAACTGGACTAAATACTTCCTCCAGTTGGGATCAGGCTCTGCTGTTGGGAGCTGGTCCCCAGGGCTGTGAATGGTGAGTTGACTTCTTGACAGGTGGGCTCCATATCTGGCAGCAGGGACTCACAGCTGGTGGCTGTTGGAGAGGTGGCTCAATGACTGGCAGTCCTGGGGAATGGAGCTTCAACTTACAGGGTGTACTCCTTGCTTGTGCTGGTGTTTGTGCTCATGGGGGGGGGGGTGGTAAGCCTGTGTTTTGTGGGGCTGACTTATGGCTCATGGCAGGGGTATTAGGTTTGTGACTCTGATTCTCTAGAGTCTACCATATCAGGGATACATACTAGTTCTGCTTTGAGACTTATGGAACCATTTGCTGCCTGTGGGGTCTTATGGGTTATCTATCTAGGGCCAACTCAACTCTCCCAAGTTGCAACTTGTTTGGCTCCACTATTCACTGGGGTCTTCTCTAATATGGAGGTTACTCCTGGTATCTGCTATAGTTATAACTTTTTCCTTCAGGGGTTATTGGCTTTGTTTTGCCCTGATCTAGCTGAAGGTATAGGGAGGAGTTGAGCCACAAATCTTCATTCTGTCACCATCTTGTTACTTCTTTCTTTATAAAATTTTATATTCATATGTTTTATATTAATATAGATTTTGAAAATTTAATAAAAGATTTAAAAATCTTTACCTACTCTTTAATAGTATTGTTTAAATACTTCAGAGTTCTTGACAAATAGACAGTTACTAAAGGACCTGATGATTTTTGCTCATGGTCTTACCATAGTAAAAAAAAGAGGACAAGGTGTCAGAAAGGGATTGAGTGTGCATCACTAACATCTGCAACAGATGCACAGGGTAGTTACAGCTCCAGCTAATAATAATCTGGAATGCTTCTTTTGTAAAAAAAAAAAAAAAAAAAAAACAAGAAACCTTCCAATCATAATTTTTATCCTGTTCTTTCCTCTTCCGCCATTGTATTATGGTCTGTGAGCTGCAGTGAATGGGCTTTTGTACAACATGACCACATGGTACTTCCATTTTTAGGGGGGACTGAATGCTTGCTATTAGGATTTAGACAGCATCAGGGAAACTGGAGTGGACCCATATCCTCTCATGTGACCTATCTGGGTCCTGTCCTGCTGATAGACTTTGCTTTTATACTTGCAAGGCCATTCAGATCCTTTTGGACATTTCTTTAACCCCTGATCCAAGAGGAGCAGCTTTAAGATTAGAGAAAAGCCTCCAACAATATTCTTCTGTCAATATATCGGAAGATTGGATTTTTTTTTCAGTTTTAGTTTAAATAAGGGATCTTCTGTTTGATAGGAGCAAATAATCATGTTGCCAAATGGCAAATACAACTTTATTAAAAGTGGAGAACCTTGGGGGGGGGTGGATAAATGGGAAAAATATCAGTGGTATAAAGGTGGATGGAAAATAGAATTTTAGTAATGGTCATGATATAAAGCCTATAGATGTTGAAGTATAATACTGTATACCTGAAACTTGGTATGCATCCTTATAAACCAATGTTACCTCAATAAAGAAAAAAACTGAGAACTGTGCTCATATTGTTAAATGTATTCATGTTGGTATATTTATACTTTCAGTTACTGAAGCATTTCCTCCTTTCAGAAATCCTTTCTTAAATAACAAGTGAGTCAGCCCCGGTGTTGGTGAGAATAAAAGGTACTTTCCTTTGATGCAATATCTGAGAGGTTTTACATAATTGAACACCTGGAAATTAAAATGTCTTAATTATATGAATAGTTTTCCTTGGTAATTTTATAAAAATGTTTGACCATTACTGCTTTTCTTGCTCTTATGTTTCCTATTTTCTATCACCAATTTCCAATGATTGCTGCTTTGGTGGAAAACAGATATTTGCATCAATTTGTCTGAGGAAATTGTAAATTATCAGATGCTTCCAAAGAAACTCAGTGTCAGATTTTCTTTATTATGTGTTTCAACTGATAATCAAGTCATGTGCTTAGGGGAACCCTGAGATTTTTGTAGAAGCTGTAACCAGTGTGATAGAACAGCTTGGATCAAGATATTTGGAGAAGGGACTAAGCTCATAGTAGTTCCTCCTGGTAAGTGAACTTTCTTCTATTTTTATCTCTATAATAAGTGACTGATAGGTTCTCTTTAGAAAAAAAAAGCAAGTGAGGATTCTATCTAGATTCTATCTATCTATCTATCTATCTATCTATCTATCTATCTATCTATCTATCTCTATATCTATCTATCTATCTATCTATCTATCATCTATCTATCCATCTATCTATCTATCTCTGCTAAGCTTGTGAATAAGTATGTGGACTTGGTATAGGATTACTAATTTTGCTGCTACTGCTTACCTCATATGTAAACTAAATAACTATAAATGTTTTCTTCATATTCTTGCTTGTAAGCAGATTGAAGTTCTACTTTTGAAAATACACACAAAAGTGATAGACTCAGACTATCTTAAAAATATATGAGGCATCATATCTATATACCATTACTGTAAGCTGTAAGATACTCATCTTATAATCAATAATCAGTCTTTAAATTGAGAGACATTTTTATTAGTTATTGTTTCTCTATTTTTGAGTTTAAACAATATCCTACAAAACCTGTATGATTGTATTCAACCTCATTTTTAACACCAGTGAAAGAAATGCCTTATTATTTTTAGACCATGAATACATTTTACTTGTTCTGAGTACTCTCGTTTACTGGAAGTTAGAGTGAGACCAGTCTAAATTTCTGCCACTATCACGCATTATATTGCCTATAAATTGACCAGTTTCTGAAACTCTGAATTCAAAATGTCATTTCATCACCTAATTCCATGAAAAGAGACTATGTGGTTTATATCCTCATTTGTTCATTCATTTCCCAGCAAATATTGATAAGACAGTTAGCAAGGTGTGTGTGTGTGTGTGTGTGTGTGTGTGTGTTACATACTAGTTATAAGGGTGAATAAGAAACAGTAGCAACACTCAAAAACCTTCTAGTCTGGTGGATAAGCATTCTAGAGTCTTGATTAACTGGGATTGATGTTCTTTTCTGTGATTACTAGCATGAAGTTTTGGATTCATGGGCATTTTTTCTTTTGTTAATTTATATGCTAGCTAATGCTTACAACATCCATGTATTTTGTTTGCTGAAGAATTTTATAAAATGGCCAAAAAATATCCCATTAAGGGGAATAATATTATTATACAATGATTATTGATGGTCAGATAGCATGTTAAATTGTTTCAGTGCTTTATGTCATTCCTCAACAGTCCTCTTCTATTAAAGATAAGGAAACTGAGGCTTAATGAGTTCAGTTATTTACCCAACATAAAATGACTAGATTCTATGGGATTCAACAGGGACTTTTGCATTACAATGTGCATTACATTACATTACTTTTGCATTACAATTTGCTGCTATGTGCTATTGGAAATATTGCCATGTTTATATTCTGAATATTTATTTTTCCATAGCCTGATTTCTTAAATGGATTCTGCAATTACCCACCTAGTCAGTTACAGTTGATCATTTGTGTTACTGAGCATGTGTGAAAAAAATTCTCCTGCTTCTGATCATGGCACTGAAAATACATCTCTGCTGCAAAAAACTCCAGTCCTGCTGAATTTGCATTTATTAAAATACCCAAATTATGATTATTTTTAGGCTAGTTCTCAAAAATGACAAGTCAGTCTTACATCATTCCATTCAATTTTCTTTCTGAATGGGCTTCAAATTTCCAGAAATATTAAAGTTGATAACAAACAGAACAATAGCAATCGTCTTAAACTTCATTACAAAATTGTTGAACTCAAGGTGTTTCTAATGCATGATTGGACAGCTGCAGAAATACCCAAACGGGATCTCTACATGTACTGGTCTCCTTTTTTTGAATTCATTTCAGTAAATTTCCTCATTGTTCATTAGTTTAAAAGATGGAATTTTTTCCTGGAAGGGGGAGACCATCTCTCAAGCATTTTCCTTGCTTAATAGATCCAGTCAAATGAAAGTTTTCAAAAAAATTTCACATTGATGAAGCACTGAAAAAAATGAAAGAGATGCTGTATTGTGGCTTCCTTGGTATTTGTGATCATATGAATAAGTGAATTTGTAAATAGAAGTGAAGCCTTCCAGTGCTCTTCTTCCAAGCTGACTACGCACACAGTGTAATCATAGCATTCAAATTAAATAATAAAAAAATGGAAAAAAATCATAAAAAATTAGCTTAGAAAGCTATGGTGCAATAAAAGATAAGGACTTTTGTTGTGGGTTAACACTGTATAATCATCCTATAACAAATATGTTTTGATTCATATTTTATTAACAAATATTAATTAACACATTCCCATATGGCACAAATGAAAATACAAAATATTTTAAAAATATAAATTTTAAAGTGACTATAATATAATCACAAATAAAATTTAATGTATTTCTACCCATTCATTTTGCCAATGTCATTTTAAGTTACTAATGTAAGGAATAAATGAAATTAAATATATAACTATCCTACCACAAAGATTGGGACATGGGGCGAGAACCACATGTAAATTCTCCAGAATTCAAATTACCACACATGGGAGTTCTTTATGAAATTAGGAGTATGGATCAATGTATTAATTCCCATCTCATCTACAATTCAAACAAATGGTCAGTAGTTGCAAAATAAGTTAATTTCTAAGACTAATAGTTTCCTCCTTCTCAAAATGATTAGAATGTTATAAGCATTGCCCAAAGTATTATAAGACTGATTTTAGGGTGATCTATCATTTTCCAATGAAATTATGTAGAATAAAAGGACATGTTTTGAAAGTTCAGTATATAAACTTACAGTGATGTAGACAAAAAGTCAAGTGTTCCCTTATTTTTACATAAAGTATGACAAACTTAATTTCCTTGATTTGCCCATCCACATAACTTCTCATGAAAAAAATAAACCAGAAACAGAGCCTTAATCTCAAATTGCAGGCAGTCATACTTCCACAAGAAGCTGAAGAACTCAGTGAAACTAAATTAGCCTGATGTTTTTGATATGCGTTGAATCACTGTGTAGTTATGGAAAAATATTCGGTGATGGAACAAAGCTTATTATTACAGGTAAGTAGCAGAGAATGTAATATTTTTCAAGGCAATTGAGGGACAGCAAAAAGCAATTAAATTAATAGTAAAATGTTTAGAACAAACAGAATGTGAAGAAGATTAGATTGGAAACCTTAGAAGAGATTTTTAAAATGAATCCCTACAATAGAGTATGTCATAGAAAACATTGAGGAGTTCTCAGAATAGGATTTGGCTTTATGTACACGTGAAATTGTATAGTGTTCCACACATAACATATGTAGGTACTATGAAATTGTTTCTCTTAAGAACAAAGTTTATTATTACAGACAAGTTTTGTGAGTTGACACATTACCTTTTCTGATGGTGAAAGGGTGTTGTAAAAGTGCTAGGACTTTGGAGTCAGACCCATCAGGAGCTCTGGTTTCACCACTTTCTACTTATGTGATATTGACAATTATTCTCTGGCCTCAGTTCCCTATCCCATTAAATGGGATAACAATATGTATACAGATCAGTTTCTGTGAGAATCAAAGGAGTTAGTGTGAATGAAATAACACATAACTGGTACTGGATTGATATAATGATGTAAAATCAATTAAATATAGTTAGAAATAACACAAATTTGAAATTTACATTTAGTTATGGCATAACTTATTTATTTGAAAAAATAATAAGAAAAATCTGGAACACAAGTCAATATTAATATGCAGGTTTGAAATATACGTTCAGTTGAAAACATGGTTGCCATTTGTAAATTTATATAAAATTCATGCTGTTGAATCTTAATGAAATGTAAACTACTGAAACATTGAACTCAAATTGTTATTGAAATATGAAAATTAATACATATAAATGAATTGGACAGTTTATTTACTTTTTTAATCTGGTTTCCTCTCTATGCATTATGAAATACATGTTGACCGAAAACAACATTGCTGATAAATTTTTAAAAAGAAAATTTAAATTTAAAGAGGGCCTCCCCGGTGGCGCAGTGATTGAGCGCTGGGTGCAAAGCTGCCTGCAGCCTCTGCAGCAACGGTTTGATCCCCAGCAGCCAGGAGAAGGTCCCACATGGCGCGCAGACCTCTCCAGCTGCCCGGCTGCTCCCCTCAGCAGTGTACTTCCTCAGTCTGCCTGTTCTCTCCCCGCTCTGGCTCTGGGGAATTCTCTCACCCTCCCGCTCCTCTGACTGTACCCAGTGCCTGTATAAATAAATAAGTAAATCTTAAAAAAAAAAAAAAAGAAACACTTGCATCCCTTTAAAAAAGAAAGGAAAGAAAATTTAAAGAAAAAATATGCGAGATAAAGTTTAGAATATGGACATTAACTATATAATTATTATCTAGTTAAATATTACTTGGGGAATATTATGGAAGTTCAAAATTCATTTTATAGAGAGAAGAATAACTTTTAAATAATGTAGCTAACAAAAAGGATAAGAAGTAAAAATAATTTGTTACATATAGAAAATTCTAGATATATCAACTGATTTTCATTAGATGATTCATTAGATGATTGGAACTAGTCTTATGAAGAAAAATACGTTTCTAACAATAAATTTAGATTATTTAATTTATTGGCTGGAGACTAAAATTATGTGAGTATAATGCATAATTGAATGCATAATATAATGCATTTAATGCATGCTTTACGTCATGTACTAAAAAAAATAAAGTACAAGTTGGAGAAATACATAATCTCTTACTCTTATATTCAACAAATACTATTTTCATTAAAAGCAGAATGTATGAAATTAGTAAAAGCACATTGTAAAATCATTATTTTACAGCATAATCAAAACATCGATTTCTGATTTAATATAAGAATCATGAGTTTTGATACCCAGGGAGAATCCTCAAGAATTATTTCCTACTCTTTTAAATGAGAAAATTAATTCTCTTCATAAGAAATTACACCTCTGAATTATTAAACTAGCTCCAAACTTACCCAAAATAAATACTAGTAGAAGATACAAGTTTCTATCAGTAATCAAGTTAGAAAGCATCCATACATCTAAAATTTCAATAATTTTTCACATCGTTCTTTATTTTTGTATGCTTTCTCATCTCTGTTAACATATAAAATAAAACATATAATACAAAAACTTCAATAATTAACAGCAAATGTGTCATCACATAATGTTCTAACATTCTCGTGACAGGTAAACATATGGTGTTTTGTGATCTATTTTGACATTACTCCTTCAAATACCTCTGGAGCTGTAACTTGTAACAACAGACCAATTATATAGGCACTCTGTTCAGTAGGTGAAAAAGAAAACATAATCATGGAGTTGTGAGACAGCTCAGGAGCCATCCACAAGGGGCAGATACAAACAGGGAGAAAATAGATGCAAAATAAGGGGTTCTGATTAAATTTCAAATTAAATTGCAAATGAAATGTGATTTTTATTCAAGTTTCTAAGTTGAAAGAAAATTTGGATACATTATACTACATTACATGTAATAAATAGCAGTAAAATATGAGGTATCTATATTATAATAGAGGAACATTTATGAAAATAATATATTTTAATATAAATTTTGGAAATATTGCTATTTTGCTTCTAAAATCTATGCCATAAATTCTTTGGAGGTCAGCTTTAATGTTGTCCTACTAAAAAACTTGGAATGGTTGAGATATGAAATTGAATGTCTCATAATATTAGAAATCAAGTAGGAGAACTCTATTGTTTTAAGAGGGCATGGGAACCACAGTTGAAGCTCAAAGTTCAACTTGATGAACTGAGAGGTACACTTGGAAGTAGATTCTCATTAAAACAAGTGACTGTGGTGATTTTAAAAAAATTATATTCTTCTATATGGTAAATAAGATAACATTCAGAGCAATTAGGTAAAGAGTGATGTTCCACAGAGTTGCAGAATATGAGAATGTGTTTGCATATGTTATAAAACTCACAAGATGGAAAATGTAATTATTTTTGAAGCAATCCACAGTCTATAAAGATATGACCAAAGTTATCTGGTCTTCTCTCCATCTCCACCATCATCCACCTTGAAAACAGTTTCCACTAAACTAGAACAAAAGAGAGTTTTTAAATAAATGTGTTCTTCAATGTTGGGAGCGTGATATGGGGCAGTTAAAACTCACATAAATGTTAGTATGTGGAGAGAGAACAAAGGTCAGGTTTTAATTCAGACTCTGCCTCCTAAAATCTGTGACTTAGGGCACAAGTTATATAAACACTTGAACTCCTTTTCCAACAAAATACTGTGGATGAATGACAACTTAATGGTAAGAACTATTACTGTGGCATCTTTTTTTCCTTTCGCTCCACCCTAGGTTTTTGCAAACAATATAACACTCATGTTTCTCCAGTAATTCTTTTTAATTGCTACTCTATTTCCTCCACAGATAAAAGAATTGGCTCAGCTTTTGCCCCTAAGCCCACAGCTTTTCTTCCTTCAGTTGCTGAAAAAAACCTCCATAAAACTGGAACATATCTTTGTCTTCTTGAGAATTTTTTCCCTGATGTTATTAAGATAGATTGGAAAGAAAAGAATGGCAAAAACTTCCTGAAATCACAGCAGGGAAGGACCATAGCGACTGGTGACACGTACATGAAATTCAGCTGGCTGACTCCGTCTGAAACGTCGCTAGATAAAGAACACGTTTGTGTTGTCAAACACGAGTTTAATAAAGAAGATCAAGAGATTTCTTTTCCGCCAATAAATGACGGTATGTATATAAATAGACATATAACCTCCCAGGACCCTGCTCTTCCCTAAAGACAATACCCAACCTTGCTGTCAAGTATTAATGAAAACAAAAATTATAAACATTTCTAAAATGTTACATTGAACATTCACATAACTGTCCTCTACTACCCTACAGAATTAAAATAGTGTAAGTTTTGAAATATAAAAAAGGAAAAATTCACCTACTTCCTCAACTTCAGTTTCATCATCTATAAAATTAAGGTCACAATGATACTATTTTGGATTTTCCTATGGAAAGAATCTTGCAATTTATCATACAATAAGTGTTCAAAATGGCATTCAAATTTGATGATCTTGATTGATCAGGAAATAAGAACAATTATATATATTTCAGGAATTTTCTAAATAGCAAGAAGACATTCTTACATCAATCCTGCTCTATTCAACATATAATCAATAAATAACAATTTATTAGCTGACAAAATCATGCTCTACAGAGAGAGTGAGACCATGTCTCTACAAAAAATAGAATAATTTGGCCCTGCAGATTTATTATGGCCTTAGGTTTTTCAGATTTGTATCTTATGTACCAACTAATGGTACTATTTCAAACTTAAAGATGGGTGAGGCCAAAGTGTACACACATGCTTTTATTTAACTTAATGAATGTATTTCCAATCATTAGTAATTGCAGCTCAAAACACATTTATTGCAGTAAATGAGTACCTGGCCTGGCAGGGATGTGGGGTGAACACACTAAGACGAAGGACTGTCTCAAGGAGGCTGACTATGTAGTTAAGAGAATATATTCTTTTCTTAGTCACTGAGGGTCACTAGTAATTCAGGAATGACATTCTAAAGGAGTCCCTTTATGCAGAGGCTGTGCACATCTACATGGTTGAGGAGAGCATCGAACATGACCCCTTGGCAGTGGTCCCAGAACTCAATAGACTGAGTATGTAGAAACTTGAGGATGAACACAGCAGACCAAAGGCCCCAGAGTGTCCCTAAAAGGAATCAATCTGTACTTTTTCCAGTTGTTAACAACCCCTTTTAAGCAGAGGTGGGAGGAGAGAAGCACTTAACAAAATTGAGAAGAGATTTTATGTGTTCTTGTCTGAATTTCAGAATTAATCTTTTACCTTCTTTGATTCTAAATTCTCCATTAATCAAATTTGATTCAAACACAACCCTGATTAGGTTCCAAATGAAATAATATCAGAAAAAAACACTTGCTGCTTAAAAATATAACACAATAAATTTATTCATATATATTATATATGTATCCTTTCTTTAACTAAAGTAAGATTACAAAATGAAACTCAATTTCTTATTTTTAAGAAGCAGAGGGGAAATAAATATACAAAGTGTAAACTTCAGATAATGACTGAGCTTAGGTGCCTACTGGATTTTTCTGGTGATGAGGGAAACATAAGAAGCATAACAAGTTCTGTGGTGATGTTCTCCGTAAAGGAAGGAAGGTCAGTTTCCAATGTTTTACAGGGGGCTTAAACGGCAAAAAATTTTTTCCATGAGCATCTCATGGCAACAAAGCTGTTGTCATTACTGTTAACATTTTAATGCCAAAGGATTTTTTGTTATTAGTTTCTGGTTTTGATAAGAGCTGAAAGTAGAAAATGGAAGCACAAATGAATGAAATGATTCTGAAGAGAGAGAAAAATTTTCATCCAAATTTTCAACCAAACTTGACTGGGAAAAAGAACGCAAGATACATGCATTTTATTATGAAAAAAATATATATATCTTTGTCATGTCCACAAACTCTACACACTAGAAAAATCATGTGTCTGATTAGGGGACACAATGAATTGGAAAGGCCTTACTTTGCAGGTTAGATTTTGGTATGGATTCCAGAAATAAACTAAATTTTGATACTGACCCTTGAAGACAGTGGTGTGTCTGTCAATCACTTTTTTTTTTTTTTTTCCTAGCGAAAGAGCATGTATCCAACACCAACAATGATGCAAACACTGTGCTTGGAAAGGAAGGAAAAGAAGATGGCTCTGAAGTGATAAAAAATGAAAGCGGTAAGTTTTGCCACATGCTTCCTTTCCCGACATGCAATAGCATAATTTTTCTCCTGTTCAACTTAACTTTTAAAGTAGCCTGGTGTACAATATGAAAATGGCTGGATTTTGCATTTTACAATGAGCAATACTTTAAAACAATCCATCATTTCCTAGGAGGCATCTTAGCACAGTAAATGCCGGTTTTGCTACGAGATGACTGTCATTGGGGTATAAAATTGTATGGTCTGAAGTATTTCCACAAGACTTCATTCACTTGTGTTACTTTTGTGCCTAATGTATGAGAAAACATGATATCAACTTGTTCTTAGATTATTTTTGAGGTCTTTGTCCTTGCCAGTTGCTGATAGCTAGTGGCACAGAAAGAGAACGTCTTATAAAGGACATTGAGCTGTGCTTTGAATGATTTTCTTATTGAATTCTCATCATTCTCCTATGAAGTGGTCCAATATTTCTTCATTAGCCTCACTTTGCAGATGAGGACAATGAGATAAAATTTAATTAAATTCCTTGCACCATGTCACGGTTAGCTAAGGGGTTTCCACACAAGGCCTCTGATCAAGAGTTCATATACTTCTCAGTTCTTCCTCTAAGGTATAGTTATAGAGCAAGATCTCAAAGTTAAAGCTCTGAGACATAATGGGGTGGGGGGTGTAAGTGCATGGATTTCAGAGAATCCCAGATCTGACTTAAACTCCAGTTCTTTTGTTATTCATTAGATGAATATGGACAAATAACTTACATTATCTGAGCAATACATTTCTCAGCTGCCTATGAGGGCAATTACAACCAATTCAGTTATTGAAGAGATATAGTCACCTTTGTGGAATGTCTAGCTTAGGATCTCTGCTTCTATCTGGCACAGTGTCAGTACTAGTTTCTATCCTCTTCTCCCTACATATATACCAAGAAAGTGACTAAATGCATTGGCTCCTGCCCTTGATCTTCCTTCCCCTGATATATATCAAGGGGTCGCTGGACCATACTTGATGAAGGGTAGGGTATTAATGAGCACATTATCTCTTGAAATCCCTTTTAATATCAAGTGCTAATGAGGCTAGAATTCTGACTCTATCAAAATAAAGCATGTGAAAGGGACATTTCCCCAGCAGAAACTCACTCAGCCTGTGGTTCGTTGAGCATCCAGTCTGGCTAGCCTTGCTGTCATGTATTCTTTCTTGCCATCATATATTTCTTGCAAAATGTGAAAGGCTATTATGTGCAATTATCCTATCACATTGTAGGCAGAAAGAGGGACATTCAGGAAAGACATATGAGTGAGCCATAACCTCTTAAAATTTTAGAGCTATTGGGTTAGCCTTTCTTTCATTTTATGTAATAACCTCTTTACTAAAACCTCCTACCCTGTCCACTATCTGCACCATCATATTCCATCATATTCCTAGGGATATCATTGCATGATACTGTGTAATGACTTCTAAGGCAGTCTTACAGCTTTATATTTGAGCTTAATTTTCTGATGTATAGATATATATTACAATTAGAATTAGAGATGCAGAATTACAGAGTAGCCAGGAATATATCTTTAACATTGTGTTGTTGAAGTAGAAATCCGGTTTCTGTTATTAAGTAAATGTGTCACATCATGCAAATTTATTCCCTCTCTCTCTATCTTATTTGTAAAATTGGGAGAAAGATAATAATCTTACAGATTTGGTAAAAATGTAATAAGGCTAAAGAGCTACAAGCAAGGATTTCAAAATAAGTGTTCTGCATTTGTTTAGTGACTGTATAATCTTATTATTTAGAGATATGGTCTGGGTGAAGAATCACTGAGCGCTATTTATCCAACTTTTTCCCTTACGATTTTTCATTAAAAATGAAACCTTACTTGTTATTTTGGAATGCTCAACAGGAATGTAGCAGAGGTTGTAACAGCAGATCCTGGTGCTGGATCTGTTGTGGTTGATTGTTGTTAGTGGTTGATGATGATGATGGTTGTAGATGTTTACTTGAGTTTTTGGTGGTACAGGGATGTCACATCAATGTTGGCGATCAGAAATAAACGATTGTGACCCCACCCTTATTAATGTGTCTTATTATTAAAAGAGAAACTAATCACATGTCTTTTCTTAGAGCCACTGCAGCTGCAGTTAGCATACATCTCTGCCTATTACACCTACGTCCTCCTCCTTCTCAAGAGCATGGTCTACTTTGCCATCATCGCCTTCAGTCTGCTCAGGACAGGCATCTGCAGCAATGGAAAGAGTCCCTAACATGGCACAAAGGCTTCAACTTCTATGATCATTTATTATCCCTGAAAGTGTCTCCTGAGGATCTAGCTGGGCTGTACTTCTGATTTTGGGTTATTTTTGTTCTCTTATATTTTTCTATTATGTTATTATCACATAATGGTTTTTCAACAACTGGGCAAATAGAAAATTTTACTCAGTAACAACAAAAATTTTATTTAGTCAGGGGCAGGACCAAGGACTATCTCTAGAAACTGTTTCTACCACCACTGTATAATCTCCATAAATTAGTCCTGTTGACCCAATTATCCTGCTCTCTGAGTATAGACAGCATGCAGATTCCATAATCATTTTAACCATTTTAATGCCTTGAAGTGTTCATCTTATACACCTTGAAAGTGCCATATGTACCACTTGAATTCTGTGTTTTGCTTTGTAAAATAGATACAACAAATTAAAAAAAAAATTAAAGTCTACTTTTGTCTATGTGTACTTTAATTGTAATAAAGTCTAATTGAAAGTTGAATGTAAGGGCCTCCCTGGTAGTACAAGGGGTTAAGTCGCAGCACCATGAAGCTCTCTTCAGCCTCTGCAGCACAAATTCGATTCCCTCACTAGGGAGCTGATCCACATGGCAGAGAAGACCATTCCTCTCCCTCCTGCTGCTCCCCTCAGCAGTGTATTTTAATCAATCTGCCTGTTCTGTTCCCCACTCTGTGTCTGCTGAATCCTTTCACTCCCCACACCTCTGGCTGGTGCCCCAGTTCTTGTATGCACAAACAAGTAAATCTTTAAAAAAATAGAAAGTTGAATGTAAGAAACAGCACGACAACTGAACTATCAAATTTAGCATTGAATGTTACAGTAGTCAATGTTACAGTAGTTTCTAGTTCGTTTTCAGAGATAGTGGTTATGGCCATTTTGGGGGGCATTGACTGGGAAAGTCACACAAAATGAAGGTGTTCAGGCACTTTTCTTGCAAAAGCTGCTAGTTTCTGATTTTATGGTTTGGGACACTTGCACAGCAAGTGGCTGAGTCTGCCATGATTGGCACTATGTGTACTAGTGTTTCTCAAGCTCTGTGATTCTCAATCATCACGTAATCTATGAAAGCTACACAAACACAGGAGAGGCAGAATGAGGGGGGTGAACCCCCTACAGTGTGCCTGGGTTTGAACCCTCAGCCTGTGTTCACAGCTGTGTGGCCTCAAGCAAGCTACGTGAGTCTTTATGCATCATTTCTTCATCTGAAAATGAAGTTACAGTGCCCTGCTCAAGATTTATGGGATTAGATGAATTAATGGTGCTTTTTTTTTTTTAAAGATTTACTTTATTTACATAAGAACCAGAGTGCAGGCCAGATGCGCAGGAGGGTGAGAGGATTCACCAGAAACAGAGCAGGGAACAGAACAGGCACACTGATGAAATATGCTGCTGAGGGGAGCAGCAGGTGAGACAGGAGAGGTCTGCTCACCATGTGGGTTGCTCCGAGGCCGGTGGAGATGGAACCAACGCTGCAGAGGCTGCAGACAGCTTCACAGCACTGCCCTCAACTGCCTGCGCCACCGGGGAGGCCCTAATGGTGCTTTTATATGCAATCCAACTTTAGTATTTACCATTGGTAACTATTCTTTAAAAACAGGCCCCAAAAATAGATGACTGGATCAAGAAGATGTGATACATATACACAATGGAATATTACTCAGCAATCCAAAAAGATAAATTCATGCAATGTACAGCAACATGGATGGAGCTGGAAGTGATCATGCTCCGAGAAATAAGCAAGAAGAAAAAGAAAAATACCGGATGGTCTCACTCATAGCAGGAATCTAGAAAGCCTAAATAAGGGACCAGGAAAAAGAATAACTATAAGAAAGAAAAAATCAAAATCAGCAAACAACTATAAAAGAGACAAACTATGGGGGGCGGGGAAAGGAGGAATTGGAACCAAAATGAGGGGGTGCAATTGTATTGTATGGGGAATACAAAAAAATAATAATAATAAATTGGCAGGCACCCCAAACACAAACACTGACTTATACTCATCTGGATCCAGTTGCCCTGCAGAGAAGTGAGATGGGGATGGACTGCGGAGTTGGTTGCTTCTACTTCATACCAGACATTTCTGTGATTTTCTAAGAACCCTTTGAGATAGGGACAGTGCTAGTGCATGATTTACAAGACTAAAGAGACTAAGTTACTTGTGGAGGGCCTGAGTTATTGTCATGCTTTAAAGCTCTGGTCTCTGAACTCAGAACCCATATTTTGCAACTCATTATTAATATTTTTATCAAATATGAAAAATAAAACCAGCAGGGTTTTGTGTGTGTGATTTGTTTTTTGTTTGTTTGTTTTATATCTTCCAAGGAGCCAATGAGAATTTCTTAAGAACTTGTGGGTGCCTCTACATTATCTCCTCATATACACAGTCTGGCACTACCAGGACTGCCCCCCTGCTGCTTGTTTACAATGGTATGCAGAATCCCCCTGATTCTGAAGGGTGAGTACTCCATCATGTGCATCTTTTAAGGGGTGCTGAACCTATGGACTGAAAGTCTCAGGCAGAAAAGATCTGCTGAAGGAGCACTCGATGTACCCCACTGACACCCCAGCTCCTCCCATTGCCTGAGTGAGCTCTGGTGTTCTCCGAATCCCCTTGTACCAGACCATGGCATGTCCAGGTGCACATGTGAGGTAGGAGGAAGGTTAAATATATCTCTTCACCCAGCACTTTCCCACCACAGCAAGAAGCCACTTGGACGTGCTCTGGGTCATTTGTTCCTCACAGTGGCACATTAAATAAGTTTCACCTTTAGAAGTGATTCCATTTAATAATTTTAGATTGTGTAATTTGCATAACCAGTGTTTAACATTCTAATGAATACAAACACTGCAGAGTGCTGCCTAAGACCCTAGTGCTGGTCTAAGTACATCCTAATCTCACAAGAGCCCTCTGATATAGGCAGGATTATCTCTGCTCTAAGGATGGAAAACTGAGGCACATGGCACAAGAATTACCCATGGCCAGGCAGGTAATAAGCAAAAACATTTTCTCTACTGTTTTGGAGTCTTTTTCTCATAGACTTTAGTTTTGAGTGCCTTCTATCTAACCAGCAGGCCACATTCATGGAATAGCTGATTTTCCCTTTTATATAAATCCAGTCCTATCTATGTACCAACTTGATATTCTGAGCAATACATGATACTATACCAATGTCATACATTTCGGTCACATGTTTCTTTTGAATCCTCCCTTGCTTATGAAGGTTCAGGGAGGAGCTGTGATTTAAACTCTGAAATCTGGAACAAAGCAATCGATTCTGGTGTTTTTAACTATGCCACCTGGGACAGGCATAGTGGTTCAGATTTCCCTTTGCCTGCACAAAAATCTTGCTTGTGTCTGCAGAGAGCAGCCCGGGTATACAGGTTAAACCAGCCCCTCCCTCACTTCCTGCCCCAATTTCACTGTACTCAGAAAGAAGAGAACCCTGAGTTCAATGCCCATTCTCCAACTTATGCCCACTGTCTTCCCTCTCTCCCATCATGACCTGTGCCATAAGACTTTCCTGAGGACTGAGCTCCCATCCCTAGGTCTTAGTCAAGTCACCTGGAAAAGAGTCCTTTCAGCCTGGGAGCCAGGGAAGTCTGCTCCCTCGACAGACAGTATCTATTCTATCAGGGAAGACGTTTGGGAGAGCAATGTGGAAAGGCTGGCTGTACTGAATGATTTATCCATTCATGATGCAGAGAAACTATCTGGTAATGGAGCTATTCCAAACTCCATTTCCAGAATATGGGAAATATGGCAGCACAAATTCAGATATCACGAAGACCTCAAAATGCTATCCAATACCTTTTCTTATAAACACAGTGCTATTTCTGTCAACATAACCAACCATGATTCTGTTAATATAGTAACATATCTATTAATATAGTGAAGGAGAAAAGTGATTACTGTAGGTCATTTTGTTCTAATTAACCTTCTTTGATATTTCCACCCAGAAACAGCTTAAACAAGTAACGCTAAAGCTTTTATGCACCAGAATCCCCTAATGAAGTATTGGCTAAATCATTCAAGGGGATGAGATTTACCAGATCACTTTTTCTCAGCAATTAAAATTTAGGGGCACCTTGGTGAATAACCAGTTAAAGGACACAATATATTTATATTGAATCATAGGAGGCTGTGGCTGTCATATTGAGCTTTGTATAAGAATGTACAAATAATACCAAAGAACATAAAACCAGAATAATTTAGTATCGTCTCTTGTCCATTGTAGCCTCCAACTTTTTACCAGAACTCTTTATTCTAGTTCTTAGAACAGTTTTTCTAAAGTGTGGTCCATCAACCACCTGCATTGTGGCACCTGGCAGGCTTTGAAAAAATGTGTAGGTTTTGCTTAGAACTAACACAATGAATCAGAAACTTGGTATGAAGTGAGAGAATGTACATTTCCAAGAACCTCTACAGAAGATTTTTATTCAGGCTAATTAAAAAAAAATTTCCAACCATTAACAGATAGAGTAATGTATCTCCTGCTGAAATGGACCAGTTCTCAGTTTGACACATGAATAACTTCTGGAAAGATCCTGAGGGGCTTCCCCCCAACTCACAGACCCCTTCCTCCTTATGGCACTTGGGTTCCCCTTCAGTTCATCACTTTTCTTCATCATGAACAAAAAAACAAGTCAAAACTTTTACTTGGTTAACTTCTGTGACCTCAGGCAAAAAGGAATTTTGTACTAACTGAATCAGCATTAATTTGCTGTATTGTGTTCAGAATCATGTTTAAACTATTTTAAATTTTTAAGAGTCTGTTCCTTAATTGAAGCATAAAAACTACTTACAATTTAGTGTTATGATTTTCTTCTGCAACATATTTATTTGAGATGTTTTAAACTAATTTGTAAAGATTTTATTGAAGTGACATTACAATGTGACATGTATTTTCAGACATGCATTGTCGTATAGTCAGAAGTGCAGGAGGGTGAGAGAATTCACCAGAGCCAGAGCGGGGAACAGA